ATCATGTCTTTAGAAATAATGTCCATAACGACTGGATAGTGATCAGAGAGCGAAGAAACAAAGCAGTCAGTCCATATGCATCTATCCCAAACTGCACCTCTAGCCAGCGTGAAATCCAGCCTCTTTCGAGGTTGTGGGGATCAAGAGGCTGGTTTCGGACCATACCAAGTGTAACCACTAGAGTCCGGGTTCATAATCCTATAGACGTCAGTCAGGCCCTGGGATTCCAGAAAGGAAAGAAGTCTTATTGTGTCTTCTCTCAGAGGTTTGGGGGAAGGTGTATCCAGCCCCGGGCTGAGGACTGTGTTCCAGTCTCCCGTAATTATCAGATTTTTGACGTCTGGTATATGTGTCGGGAGGTCTGAAAAGAATTTTATACGTTCCTTGTAATCCACAGGGGCATAGACTGTCATTATAGCCCAGTCTTCTTGCTCCACAACCAGTTTTTACCCAAACCCAACATCCATCTTGATCTGCATAGTGGTCCAACACGTCCACCTCCATGTTTTTGTCCACAAGAATACAAACCCCACCTTTAGTCCCTTCCGCCGGGGACCAGAACTGCGGTCCTTTCCAGTGTCTCTGAAATTTCTGTACTCTATCTGCGTGGAGTTTAGTTTCCTATAGGCAGACAATCTGGACATTTTGATTGTGAATCCACGAAGTCAATCTTGATTTTTTTTTCTCTATCTGTTGTGTCGCCCAATCCTCTTATATTCCAGCTAGCCAAGCGGATTTTATGTGAGAGGACCATTCAATTGGTCAATCCCGCTCTGCTGTTGGATGCAGATAGAGGACGTTGTGGGTGTAGTGGCGCCCAGTGTCCCCAATTGAGTATGAAATTCCTCCATGGAAAAAAAACCCTGTGTTTCTGTCGCGGCCAACCATTTTGCTATTTCGTTAGCATTAAGGTTTGAGGCCACACTGATGCCACAAAGAGAGTCTCTTCCCGGAGTTAATAAAGATTGCAGGGGGCCCCAATAAGCCCTCACTGTGCACCATTTACAGAAATCATCCGTCATCGACTCTATTCCCATGATTACACAATACAACACCACCTTGGAACCATCTGTTTGATTAGCAATATGGCGCCCCATTTTGGGTGATTGCAATATGCCACACTTAAAAGTATGGTTGACTACGTGCTCCACCACTAGCTCCAGGATTTGCTCGTCTGAAGGCCGGCAAGGAACCCGAATTGCCAGCATTTCGAGAGCATCATCCTTTTTCCAGGTCATGTATGTGAGACCCGGAGGTGTATCAGAGATGATAATTGGAACCAGAAACTGTGGAAAGGAACCTTTTTTCCTATCAGCCCTGGAAAGCATGGTCATAGGCGGCGCCTTGGACAGACGGTGTGGGTCCACCATACTGTTGTGCCTTCGTTTCTTAGTACCCCCCACACCTGCGTGATCGAGCGGACCTCTCTCATCATATAGAATAATAGTTTCAGGCGGCGCTGTACTGGCGCTGGAAATAGACGAGCAGCACCGCAGCAGGGTCGGTTACGTTGCAATTTCAAATTTGAACCGAAGAGTGCATGCCCCCAGCTCGTAACAGATTACCGGACATAGGGCCTGGCCTCGATGCACTACTCTTTTTTTCTTTTTCTTTTTCTTTTTTAAAAAGCCCAGGGTGTTGTAGAGGCCGTTGACTCGTGCAATTTCAAGTGCACCGTGCCGCTCCACTAAGGGCGTACTCACACTAGGGCCTTTTTGTGGAAAAAATAGCAAAAAAATAGATGGTTGGGCCAGTCGCACGAGGCACGGAAAGTAGCAACAGACTAACAGTAGCAAACAGGGTATTAGACGTCCGTGGCCTGGCGAGCCACGGAAAAGGGCGGGTGGGCATTTTGCTACTGCCTCTGGGGCCTGGACCCACTAGCGAAGTATTCTATGACGTGTGACGCAATTTTATGGTTTTTTGGAAAAGACGGAGTTATTTTTTTTGCATGAATGGATGGTTTTCTGATTTAAAATGAATTGAAATGGCAAATAAAACAAAGAAGAACAGCTGTGCACCCAAATTCATGGGTTGGTACAATCTCCTTCAAAGTCTTCATAGTGATGTACCGTGGCAATTTATTTATTTTTTTGACGCATCTCATTGGGCAGGAGGCGGGCATGTTTACAGTCCCCGCTCGGAAACTACCAGGCCGTCGAGATCCAATGTATTCGACGGCCGTACTGCGTCACTCGAGGCCACACGTGATATTGAAATCCTAAACCGAGTGGTAGAATACCTTGCTAGTGGGTCCTGGCCCCTGGAGGTGGTAGCAATTTCTCTTTTTCAGTTTAGGGTTTCGTGAAAGGAAATTTCGGCGCATCTATCAACTGCTCCGAGCCAGAGGAAACTTGGAACGAATTCTCTTGGACCTAAACAAAACAGAACAGAACAAAAAGTTGAAGGATTTGGGCCTCACGATGTGTGACCACGTGAGGCACCATTTCTGCAATTGCCAGCAAGTCCCACTTGTGTCCTTTCTTATTTGCTCCCACGGTGCGACCGGGCAGGGTAGTACTTCACCCAAAGCGGGATTGCAAATTTTTCCGATTGTGTCCTTTTTTATTTGCTCCCACTGTGTGACCGTGCAGGGTAGTACTTCACCAAAAGCGGGATTGCAAATTTCTCCCATTTTGCCACTTTGCGACCTCTGTGCGAGTACGCCCTAACTCATGAATTGGCTCCCCTAAATCCACTTCAGGAGTTGTCAGAAGAACTCTTGACATTGGGCCTCCCTTCACTACTCTGGACATGCACACAAAACAAAAATCATGGCGATGTATCTTTCCATATTCTAGCGGAAGATTCACTCTCCTTTTGCACATTTCGAGAGCAGTGCAGCGAGGCCCATTGTCTTCGGTTGCTGTTGCTGCACAAAATCAATCTTGAACTGCGTAGCACGGCGAAGGTGTTCGCGCTCCTTCACGTTCGCGCGAAAAAAAAATTATGTTCGCCCGAACATGTTCGCGCGAACGTGAAGGAGCGCGAACACCTTCGCCGTGCTACGCAGTTCAAGATTGATTTTGTGCAGCAACAGCAACTGAAGACAATGGGCCTCGCTGCACTGCTCTCGAAATGTGCAAAAGGAGAGTGAATCTTCTGTTTTTGATTTTTAACTCATGATTGACTACGAATTTGAACATGACTCCAAGGCAAAAGTTGCTTGTATTAGTATTTTACATAACATATATTGTTTTCAGATTTTTTTGATTTTCTTTCTTTTTTTTAATCTTTTTTATGTTCTCGTTCGGAGGGTTTTGGGCGCTTGTTCGCGTTCTCCTCCGAACGCAGTGCTATGACAGAGCAAACTCATGTAAGGCCCTCTTGAACTTTCACGAGCACCAGCCCCAGCCTGCAACGTGGGTTTTCGTTTAGGGTGCTCGCGAGAACCCTTGGAACGCCACCTACTTTCAAGAGCGCACCTCAAGTCTGGGCGGACAACCCAGGCTGGCCGTGTCCGCTGGTACTCTGGAAAAGCACAACCGGACAGCAAGTGTATATGGGTCGTGAGAAGGGATAGGGTTTAAAGGGTTTAAGGGACAGGCAGGGTAACCATGAACAGGGGGGCTGCTGAACAGGGCTGGGCTAATGAATCATGGGTGCTCCAAGATGGGATGGGTGATCCTTTTTTTTTTCCTTTTTTTGACAAAACTGCCCATTTGGGATCTACCATCTTTTTTTTTTTTTTTTTTTTTTT